GGGGGGGGGGCAGGGGGAGAGAAAAACAACTGGTGTTCATAGTAAGTATGACATTATACATGGAAGACAAGATTTTCAATTTGTTCATTTTTAAAGCGAAAAGAATTTTCTTAAAATCAGTAGAAAATACACATCAAGGTTTGAACAGATATGGCATGAGGAACATTATTATGAATGAAATGCTTGTAGGTTCTGTGCCAATTTTCCACCACTGTGTACTTCATTGCTATTTAAAACTGTACTCCATCAATTCTAACGGAAGAATAAATTATTTGTGATTTTAATTTTCTCATTTGTTTCTTTAAATTAGATCCCTATCACTCTGATGTCTCATCTGGAGACTCTGCTGTGGGTTTTTATTTTATATAAGTTTGGCCAGAATAACCAAACTGTATTTGCATTCTAGGACTTTATCAAAATTCTCTTGCCATAGCCAAGTTAATTAGAATTAACTGTTCAGTAATCAGCGTGTTGTGTAGGTTGTTTGTTGCAAAATTCTTCCTCTGAAAATGAAGGTCCATGAGGCTATAATCAAGATGACTGAATTAGATAAATGAGTTGAGGACGCAAAAATGTGTTGAACCCAACCTGGTGTAGATATGTTATCTCATTTGAAATAAGCTCAACTGACATTAAGAAATAATTTGTCTTGCCAGCCCATCTTCTGTTGTCTTATTCTCCTTTTTAATGGAAACTAAAATTGCAATTTTAATAAGCAGAATTTCCTCCAGGGTTTCCCTCCTAGAGACTACTGCATTTGCAAGGTTTAATTGTTTTATAACGGTCCTGTTTCGTAAAACTTTTTAATTGGTGGTGACAAAAATTACCTTATTCCTCTGATACTATGCCAGAAGAACAACTTGAGAGGAGATAGCTCCACGCAAAAGTATTTCTACTAAAATTATGTATTAAAAAAGAACCAGTTTTCCCTATACAAAAAAGAAGCAGGAATGCATGGCAGGACCAGGGTGAAATAGCAAGATACAAGGTTCATTTTAGTAAGTAATCTTTATTAAATAAAAATCCAACTAATAGGAAACTAGTAAAAAAGGTGTTACACTTGGCATTCTATATGTGGAATGTAGAAAATAAGACCTAAGAGGGGGACTGACACAGCAAATCAAATACGTGAACAGAAATGATACAAATGTTCAAAGAGTAAAGAGGAGGAGTTAATGAATTCAGTGACTTTTAGTTACCATAGCACTGTCATTTTTGCCATCATATATTGCTCTTCCTTTTCAGACGTTTTTATTTCCTTTTCTGCTCTGTGAATGACTTGCAGAAGGGAGAAGCTGGCTCACTGTTTCAAGTGAAATTGACTTCACAATGTTGTAACATAAGTAAGCAAACATGCCACTTTATAGAGCAGGATAATTGTATCTTTTTGCAAATAGTCCTGCTTTCATTTTCATTATCTAAAATTACATTTATATGTTTAAAGTAATTGATTATTATTTTTTTTTTTTAGAAAATACTCCTGATTAAAGAGGGGCAAGGACTTCAGTGCAAGAATCATTGTACTTCTACGGTTCTCACTACAGAGGATGCTGAAACACTTTAGTGTGATTTAAAAAAAAAAAACCCACCCAAATTTTAGATTCCAAAAAAAGGAGAGAATACTTAAATTTACAAAATGAAGAGAAATTGTTAGATCAGCAAGTCCAGGTGGAATTCAGCCAGAAGCCCTAAACAAGTTTAGAGAGAAAGTAGCTGGTTTTCCTACATGGGCAACAGTTGCTGTATCATAAAGTAGAACCATAAGGGTGAAATCCTATGAAATGAACCCAGACAAACCTTGTGAAGTGAATAGATGACTGGATAAAGTTGTAAGTTAAATTAAAAAAAAATATATTTTCAGTAGTATATTAAATATGTTTTTAAGAAAATAAATAAAGACCAAAATGTGCCCCTTAATTTACTAGAATTGTTGTAAAAGATGGTAGCACAATCTGATAGAATTGGTTTTTATTTGTATGTTCACAAAACTTGAAGTTCTTTGAGAAGATGCTACCATAAAAATACAGCATGCAGTAAGGTGGACTGTGAAGCACTGGAAATTAGATAAGATGAGGGGAGAATAGGAGTAAGTGCTATATATAAAAACATCATGGAGATGGATAACAAATTATGCCAGAGCTCTTGGGACCACTGATTAACACTTACTTACCAAAGAAATTGGAGAAAAGAATACATGTTCCAGAAGCAAAATGAGGTGGAAATGGTGCTACTTAGATTATGCAGGATGTAAAACTTAGTGGAAATGCAGTTGACCGTAGCAGAACTTAAGAAATGGCTGCTGTTTACAAATACAACAAAGCATGTACTGGGTGGGCTAATACCAATTTACTTATACGCAGTTAATCAACTGTCAGGAGAAATTCAGCAGCTAGTGCACTAGAACTTCCGTTCATTGGGTATTGGAAGTCACAGTGCCACCAAAATGTTCAAAAAGCGGTGGCACGGAATGCTTAACAAAATGCCATAACACTGATCAGAGTTTTATCAACACTCTGAATTACTGTGTTACTCCTTGTCTCTCCCATATCAAAAAAAGATAGCTCACATAAGGTGAGTCGGTAATGAGTGGTCGAGAGTGAATGAAGTATGTTTGGGATTCTCTGTTTCAGCAGTCGGTATGTATAAGCCAGTGGTACTTAACAGTGTATAATTTTTGCAAGGATACGGACAACATGATGAAAATTAAAGGCAACACCTTTAAAATTGATATCAGGAACTGCTTTTTACGACATGCACAACTGCAAACTCAGTCCTTAAGATATTGTTGAAGCCAGGGGCTTAGTAGGATTAAAAAAATGAATTGGATATATATATGAGAACATGCACAGTTACATTAGATCAGATGAAACAGTTTATTTTGAAAGACTGTAAAACCTCATGCTTCACAGCTTTATGCAACAAGCAGCATGCTAGAGTTTGGAAGGTATTTCTGTTGGTGCCTTGACTGTAAATATTGGGAGTGTATTTAGATTTCTTTTTACCATAACTTTTACAACCTTACTCTGCAAAACCTGGAAGTAGGCATTACTAGCGGGAGGCTGTTGGTTTAGGTTGCAGAATTAAACTGAAATGTAATTCTGAACTGGAGTGGCAATGTTCTGTTCAGAAAATTTTTTCTTTTTCCGCTATGGTGAAATACATCATTCAATAAAAATAGTGAAATACTTATGTTTCAAGCTAACGTGATGCTGGATGCATTCACTTAATTCTTATAAGCTTCCCGTGACGCAGTTTTTCAAGAAAAATTCTTGACTAACCCAGCAGAATGTATGATTTTCCTGTACCTGAGATCTGATAATTTTACAAGAGGAGGGTTTTTTCAGTTTTTTTATACATAATGTTTTCTAATTTTCCCTTACCGTTATTCACTTGGTCTTTAAGAAACAAAGGTAGTTCAGTATGTCAGTGACTGCATATTTACACTTCAGGTTTCTGCTGGGGAAGAGCTGTGAGGCTGGGAAGGAAGCTGCTGGAATAGCTAGAGCTAATAGCCTGTGAACTCTTCAGAGCACTGTGTTATATTCACTTGCCGTGACACTTTTTAAACAAATGGCGTAGGTGAATTGCCATATAAATGCTTTTGCATTTTGGTTCATAATTTTCATTTAATCTAAAAGTTAATTTTACACAGCATAAATTCTAATCACCTACTGCAGTTGGTGTTGCCAGAAGTGTGCTGGCATCTTAACACAAGTCCATTACAGATACTTTTGTAGAAAAATGCCATTTGCTAGGGCAGGCTTGGTAGAAATACGTGTTTTGTTTTTATGAAATTAAGTTACATCAGTTATACCTCCTGACTGTTTTTTAGCAAACTTCAAATGAAGAATTTTTATTCTCCAGTATTAAGTTGCCTTCTTTACATTTTTCCAGTAATAGCTTTTCTCATCCCAGAACCTTTAGACTTCTTTTCCACAAGGCTACAATATAAACAAGTGCCACAGTTCTTAGAGTTTCTATCTAAATACTGATTATGGCTTTACTTGTTAAGATAGTTTCTTGCCAAGTTGATACAGTGTCAGTCTCAAAGGTTAATGATCTGTATATCTCTCTCTCTTTTTTTTCCCCTAGCAATGATACAGATGATTTTAGAGCTAGCTCTTCTTATTTCAGCACTTAGATAACTACATCTATCTGTTTCTTCCCAAGGCTGTTTCCAGCTTGGATAAAATGTTTGCATTCTATCATGAAATCCCTTATTTAGAAACTTACTGTTGGGGAAAAAAGGTTCTGGCTATAAACACCAGAGTTTTTAATTTTTTTTAAGCCCAGAGAGCCTGCCCACCTGAGTATGACAAGGTATTTGCTAGCTTCATACTCTTTTCAGATTATCACCTGTTTCAGCATCTGTGTAGGCTCAGGAAAGGTAAGAACATAGCAAAACTGAGGCAGGCATGAAGGTTTCTGGTGTATCCACCAAAGATTTTGGCTGATGACAAGTGGTTGATTTCAGGACCATAAATAGATGCTTGGTGGGTAGTAGGATATCTGTAACTGCTACGAGAACCTTGTGTGCAGGCTAACATGTCTAATGGAGCCTGGTGTTCATTGGTGCTTGTTATGACTGTTGCTATGCCCTTGCTGTAAAGACAGCACTGATACTTCATTACCTCAGAAGCTTACTTCTAGATGGCCTGTATTATATGCCCTTCAATTTCACATTGCTTCTGGTTTTCCTGCTCTCTGGCAGCAAACAAGGAAGGCAGAAACCCAGCAATCTTACGTGAGACCCACTCTGCTGAGGAAGGAGCAAGGAGCATGGAGATAAATTGACTGCTTCAGTAGTTCTTTTGCCTGTTTAGAAATTTGTTTAAAATGTGGTAGACCTGAGGTGTATGGGCCAAGCACGATAGAGGTGACCTGCTGACTAAGTTTTCTTGATAGTCTGCCCTATTACCATTATTTAAGTGACCACTGACAGCTGGTCACCATTTGAATGAACGCTTGGCAGTATGTCTGCTAGACAGATTTGTATCAGTTTTTGACGTGAGTTAGTAGGCCAAAACGCCTTTTGTTGAGCTGCCTACCTTTCCATTCAGAGTTGTTGCAGGAGGATGCTGCAGGGTGTCATGATGGCTGGTGTGCATTTGTCTTTGCAACATGTTGGTTCAATGAGTCAGTAACTTGTAGGCTCTCCTTTGTTGCTGTTTCTCTCTCTCTTCATGGGACTGTGTTGATATCTGTTCTGTTTTTGTAAGCCATGACAGCTCACCTTTTGACCATGCTCATCTTCTAGAAGGGTAGCAGGCAAGACTGACCTTAA